CGCCGGCGAGGGCCGCCAGGCCCGGGGGAGGGAGGACTTCGGCGGAGGGTGGGGAGTCGCCTCCAGCGCCCACAGGGTCTGCAGGGCTCATGTGTAGGCCCAATCACAAGGACGTTGCGTGTCTGAGTCTGGGGGAGCCAAGCGCACCCCAGGTGGAAAGGCCCAGGCCCAAGGCCACCTTCTCCAAGGAGCCACCCACAGTCACGGCCCCCCGGTGTCTGTCCCAAGTCGGGATTGTGTTTCCTGGGGTGGGGGCAACAGGTCGTTGCAGGTGTTTGCTGGGCGCCTACCTCAGGCAGGGCCCCAGGACGGGACTGCAGGGCTCTGAGCCCTGGGATGAGCCTGACTGCCACCGATCGGGCGCTGCCAGGTCTGGCCTGCGGTGGGCAGCAGAAACAGGACCGCTCAGGTGGACACTCAGGGGCAGTCCCAGAGCCTGGGAGTGTGCAGCGGAGTGCAGCCAAAGAGCCAAGTGTCTGTGAACATGGCGGTCACAGCCACGCCCTGGCACTGCCAGGCTCTCTCTTCCTCTTCTATGTGCCCATTTCCTGGTAGCTTCAGATTCAGCTCAAATGTCACTTCCTTGGGGAAAGCCGCATAAAGCAGTGCCGTTGTAACATCTTGCCCACAACCCCCAATAAGAATTACAGTTGACACTGTGAGCCAGCACACACACACACAGACACACAGATTTGAAACAAGGAGTAGGCTGCTATTTTCTATTCTATTCCAAAGAGGGAAGGGTGGAAGGGAGGGAGGGAGGGAAGAAGGGAGTCTGCTCGCACCTGCTAATTTAGTTCTGCAATCCCCAGTTTAACACTGTGGCAAGGCACTGGTTGCCCTCTAGGTCTTGCTGCCTCTGCTGGCAATGACATTTCATCCCCGAAGCCCCGCGGAAACCTCCCAACAGGCCCAGGGGCTCATCTCCAGCTGCTCCATCCAGTGTGCGTGCCCTGCTGGGGAAGCCACTTGCTAGATGAGAAACCTGAGCTCAGGCCCTGGAGGTAGCTGTGCTGCGAATCACAGCCAAGGCTATCCTGAGGAGGGAATCCCGCCCACCCACAGGCACCGGAACAGGTGGAGGGAGCATGAAAGAGGTAGTGGCTGCTTGGCTGCGTCTCAAGATCCCCGCTGTATTTGAACCCTCTCTTTCCACTCCTGCACCGCTCCCCGACACACACACACCCCCGCTAAACACAAGCAGTTCTTTGAGTCTACTTTTTCCAGGTTGCAGTGGGAACAAAGGTTTCTATAACACCAGTCATTCCTTGTGAAGATCATGACATCTCCCTACTTTGAAGATGGCAGAGAAGTGGAATTGGCTCCATTCCTGCTGCAAAGACTGAATCTCCAACCAGCTACACCAACAGTAGCAAGCTCACCACCCTCGAGGGCCACCAGGCCCTGGGGGAGGGAGGACTTCAGGGAGAGTCGCCCCCAGCCCCCACAGGGTCTGCAGGGCTCATGTGTAGGCCCAATCACAAGGATGCTGCGTGTCTGAGTCTGGGGGAGCCAAGCGCACCCCAGGTGGAAAGGCCCAGGCCCAAGGCCACCTTCTCCAAGGAGCCTCCCACAGTCACGGCCCCCCGGTGTCTGTCCCAAGTCGGGATTGTGTTTCCTGGGGTGGGGGCAACAGGTCGTGGCAGGCATTTGCTGGGCGCCTACCTCAGGCAGGGCCCCAGGACGGGACTGCAGGACTCCGAGCCCTGGGATGAGCCTGACTGCCATGGAT